ATTTATCTCTTGATTGGCTTAACACCAGAAACTTAACTCAATTATTGTAAAATTAATTCAATTTTTTAAATTTATTTCGATATCGTAAATAAAAAAAATGAAAAATTATGGAAATGATAAAAATCTAAAATTTTATGCTCATATAAAAAAAATTATCATAAAATTTTGAATGAAGTTATATTTAATTGATATAAATAGTCCTGCGTACCCTGTCCGACGAGCTCCTAATCCTCAGTGATAAAATAATGTTAATATATGATTTATGATATAAAACACACACAATGTAATAGAAGAGATTTCAAGTTTTTATTTGATACATTATTTGTGATATTTAATCTTATTAGTTTAACTCCAGACAAATTAATCCAAAATAAACTTTTCTTATTTTTGCGATAGTATATTTTTGAATGAACTTTAATTAGTGGACGTGAGGTAAATTTTTTTCTCGAAAGATAATTAATTATTATATAATTAAATTTAAACCTTAGATTCAATTTAAATAAATAGAATTGGACCCTTTGGTCTGGTGTCCAAGTCTCCCCTACTTTAAATTTATAGAAAATTGTTAAAGAATTAGGAAAAATTAATTTTTATGCCTCATATTTTTAGATAGAGTTTGTAAGGGTAGACTGATTAATTTTTGCCTAAGGTGGCAAATAGCTTAGCGATGAGTTCTGCCCACTCTCCATTTAAATATCTTTCTCTATACTAGGGCAAACTTTATAAGGAAATAGATTATTAATAAAAGTTTTACTTCTAATCACTTTTATGTAATAATCAACTCATATAAAAAATACAAATATTATTAAGTATTAAATTATTTTATTAAATACAATTTAATCATATAATAAATAATTTTATATATACACATTACACAAAGAATACATTCAATTAAGAAAATGCATTAAGATATTGTATAAATATAATTTTAAAAAGATTAAATAATACCAAAGTATCTATTTTTGATTTAACTTATGTTTGTTAATAGTTGATAATATTCCTTATTTTTTTTTATAATATTAATTTAATTAATTTAAAATCATTTTGTAATAACATCTAGAAAAGGCATAATAACGAGGTCCAATACATTATTTGTATTTATAAAAAATATATTAAATGAAAAGTATATTCAATCTATAACATCCCTTGCAATTCAAATACCACCGTAATATAAATTGTAGCCATATATATTCCTTTTTCGGTCAAAATCAAATGCAAACATCTCGAACTACGAGGTCCATTATTAATAACTTGCGGTTGATGGGCATACGTTAACAACTTGGGAAGCACATGATTGGGACTTTACATATATATAAACATTTTTCGCCCCATCAAATAATAATTAATCCATTAAGAATATCGGAAAAAGGAAATCCCAAAAATATTATATTTATACCCATTGTGGTATCAACAAACTGCTCGTTTAGAAAATAGGATGAATCCCTAATCAAACTAATTAGCCAAAAGAGTCATAAAACAACAATCTCGAGGGCTCTTTTGATTACACAAAAAATCAGCGTTGAAATATTACGTTACAATTTTAAAGAATCATGGCCGTCACCAGATGAGAATGAATATTTTTAACCTCTTTTGAAAAAAATTTTTTTTTTTAAATATGGATTTAAAATTTTATTTCTAAATATGTTTTCTTATACATAGGTTACATGCTACTTTTTATTTTATATAATAGCGTAAAAAAATAAACCTTTTATAAAGTTATGCATAAAAATCACTAATTTCTTTGTCTTAATAATCCAAAAGAAATTTTAATCATCATTTCAAAAAAAGCGAAAACATTTTAATTTTTTTTAAGCATTATTCCGGCCCTATTTTTTTATGATAGAAAAATATTCTCTAAATTTTAATATAATAAACATTTTTTTAATTTATTTAGTGAGAAATTTGTCAAATAATTATTAAAAAATGTTATAATATCACATAATTTTTCTCAGTCAATAATCAAACCTTTTGTTTTCCAGCAAAGATAATAAGAAGAATAAAATATCGCTTATATCAAAATAATTATTTATATCATATTATTATATATAAATAACTTCTGGATCTACCAATCTTCTTTGAGTCAATAATGCTGAAACTGAGGGCCTCTAAGAGATTACTCCCCAAGTCTCACTATGCAGATCGCAATCTAACATTACTAATTTTTCCAAACTTTAAGAATGCGCATATATTTTAATCGGTACAAAATCTTTTGGCTTAAGAATGGTATATATATTTTTGTGCCCTCTAAATATTAAAAAAACATTTGCTTTATATTGAAATCTAAAATAGATTACAGCGATAGATAACGATAAAATGGTTTTTCTAAATGTTTATATTTAATATTTTTTATTAAAAGCATTGTAAAAAGCCAAAAGAAATCGTAAAATTAATTTTGTTATTGGTTCAGGTTTTACTAAAGCCCATTAAAGATCGATTAGTTGCATAAACATATCTTAACTTGTTAAGGTGTTTAATCCATTTCTCTGCTTATATTAGTTTTGTCATGGTAACCAGTTATTATAGAAAAATTATATTTATTAAATAAAAGTGACATGTCTGCATATTTTAGAATTCAACGACAAATTTAACAAGTTACTTTTATTATTTTATAATTTCAAAATAGCTAATATTTTTCTAAATAGATAACACACTTGAAAATGATAAAATATGAATGATGTTGATTTATTATTGTATAAAATAAAACAAGAAATTTACAAACTATAGACATGTTTTTTGAATAAATATTTAAAATTTATTTTAAAAACATAAAAATAACCAATTACTATTTCGCAAAATTATTACTTATATATTAAAAACGCTAAAATGGTAAAAAAAAAAAATTGTGCCGAAGAAATTTGAAAATTGCGTAGTTTTGCGGGAGTCTCCCGCTGATGGGGGGAGACATAGCAACCCTGCGTGAGGCATGCCTAACAGAGACCTTAAGCTTAAGAAGACCCCATATTTATTTTCCCCTTATGGCTTAGTTCCATGAGTGTTCTAAGTTTATAAAGGATTAAGAATATGAATAATACTAATTCATATCTAATGTTCAAAAGATTATTCCCATAATTTTTTATAAAGTGTCATACCTAACCATTGTTATAGAGGTCAGAAGAAGCCAGACTCTTGTGTAGACCCGGGTAAAAAGATTTTAAAGCCGGATAAGACAACTTGGGCAAAATATTTTTGAAGCCAGGTTGGACAACTTGTGCAAAATATTTTTATAGGCTGAAAGAATTTGGCAAATTTTTTAAACAAAGAATTAGTAAGATTATGTCTTCTTCCTCATAATAAATTATTATTTTCAGAGCAGATTAACTATCAAAATATTATACGGTCTGGGCAAAAATTTAAGGGCCGGGCTCAAAACTTTTCACAGGTCAGTATGGGTCGGGGTGAACTCTAATTAATTTCCATATAAAAATATAATAGATAGCAATTTAAAACCACGAACAAATTTCACTTACGTTTAAAAATATACATAAATCCTAGACTTGGGAGACTGGAGCTAGATGAATCGTGGAGTGTAACCATATGATCTCATTTTTTAATTAAAAATACTAATATATTTGAATTTGGTCCCAATATATAGTTTAATAATGTGATAAAAGATATTTAGAAATAAATAAATATCAAAAATTCTATATAAGATATAAATTTTTATTAACGTTTTTGGTAAAGTTTGAACTTTAAAAACTCTTTTATAATTTGAGAAATATCACAAACATTTAGGCTGTCTAGATACTATTTTATCATGACTCATAAATTTAAAATGGGGCTTATAAATCAGGATGCTTTAACTCTTTCGGTCGCGGTAGCGCAAATATAAAACCATCTTTATATCTTCTAAAGGAGTTCATCTTCTACATATAAAATGAAACCACCACGAATATATATATTAAAAGATATTCTTTTTTATATGTTTTTGGGAAGTTATTTTTTTTTCGCGCATTAATATAAATCATTAATAAGAGGGCATAATGATGGGTGGTCAGAGGTACCTTAGTTTTATTTTGTTTATTATAAATGTGAATAATTTTAGATGAATATTTATCAATATAAAATATTTATTTTCGCTATAATATTACTTTAAATGGTATATATCTTTTATTTACAAAAATTTCTTAAAAAAATTAATATAATTTAATTTACTTAACGCCTCGTATTATAAAAATATCAGGAAAAAAAATTGAATTATGTATTTAGATCCTCATTTCTTTGGTAGACCAACCATTACCTAATGTTGGACTAACGTACCCAGAGTACGGAAATGTTGGTCCCATCCCAATTCACATTAATTTTAAAAAAAAGTAGTTTTTATAAATGTATATTAACTATTTTAAGGATTTAGATATGTTTATTTATTCAAATTAGTTTAATATTATTGAATTTATTAAAGTGAACCACTTAAAGGAAAAATTAATTTGATATATAAGGTGTAATATACATGAAGGTTATATTTATTTGATTAAAAATTATAAAATGAATTAGTTTAATATAATTTAATATCTTATTTTTTTATAGAATATAGAATCAATTCAAGTGACACTATCAAAGTAATTTACTTAAAAATGTTCATAGGGAATGTAAGTACAAGGAAGGCTTACTAACAAATAAATTTATTATAATACATTCTTAAAACAGTAATTATAAACTCATCGAGCGATAAATCCAATTAATACTTTTATCTTTATGTAATTAATCGGATTTAATAAAAGATCACTGATGACATCATGAATAAATTAAAAACATGTAATATAAAAAATATATTATGCGTATAATATATATACATTGTAGTTCATTTACAGTAAAAAAATATTATATAATCTTGAATATATTGTCTCACAAAACATATAGAGATTCTAAAATGATATAAGAAATATTATATGGAATAATAATTTTATATAAATAAGAATACCCATGGATAATGCATTTATTTAGAGTATATTTAGTATAAGTATGACCCAGCACCTTTTATTCTTGATGTGTATACGGTAAGCTTAATAATTAAGATGAGTACCTAATGCAGCACTATTTAGAGATGGGTTGGTAAAATAATTAGGATATGGGTGAGAACTGGTTTGTGAAAATTGGGTAGAGGAATTACCAAGCTGAATTCCAGGTGGTAAAGCGCTCATACACAGAGATGGATTCATGGGATGCAGAGATGGGTGTGATGCTTGAGGAGGCAAATAGAGAGATATCATATCTCTAAGGTCATTTGACATCGTTGTAGGATTATGTGGATTTATTAGTGGGTGAGAGTTTATTTCGTTGGGGTTCGAGGAATGATTCAAGTTATTAGGAAAAAAGTTTGGGTAATTGGATAGAAGCGATTTATTAGAATATTGAGAATAATATCGGTTTAAAACTGCCGATGGGACGTAATTTTCATATGGAGACGAGGAATGATAATTTCGTTCTTCGTTTGGTTCAGTATTTGAACTATTTGGAGATCTATCATTTTCGTGGTTAACTGCCTCCAATTTAATAGGATTTATTTGCGAAATATATTGATTTTTATTATCGGGTGGAATTTGCTTGAGGCTTTTTTCCGAATTTCCTTCTTGCTTAACATGATGGTTTATGGCGTTAAAATCAGATAGGCGTTTTAATGTGCCATTATTTAATAATGAGGAATAATGTTGCATTGATTGGTGATGTGGATTCAACATAAAAGGGTGGGGATAAGCTGAGTATGAAGAAATATCACTTCCATTGTTAGTTAAAGAACCGTTGTAAGTTGGAAAATTAGAAGATAGTTGATTTGTCATTATATTATTGGAATCCCTCATAGATCCATAGTACGAAACTTCACCAGATATATTGGAATTTCCAAATATTGAGGAATGATGATTGTGAGGAATTGTACTAATGAGAGGGGTGTTTGATTTGTTTTGTTGAAAATTTTTGTTATTAGTAGATGAGGAAACATTCATCTGAGAATTTTGATAATTTATTGAAGAGGTATTTATATTTGTATCCTTTTTGATCAAATTTTTTGTCTTTCTTCTAGGTCTATATTTATAATCAGGGTGATCTTTCATATGCACCGCTCGAAGTCGTTTAGCTTCGTCTATAAATGGTCTTTTTTCTGATTCTGTTAAAAGTTTCCAATCGCTGCCTAGACGCTTGCTAATCTCAGAGTTATGCATTTTTGGATTCTCTTGGGCCATTTTTCGTCTTTGCCCTCTTGACCACACCATAAAGGCATTCATTGGTCTTTTAATTCTAGTAGGGGTGGAATTATTTAGTGAGTTACTATTGTGTGATACATTATTTTGGTGATTGCTTATCAAATTATGTGGTAACATGTTTGGATTTGTGCCTATTAATAGTGGAGATTTTTTGATTGGTGAGGATTTAGTCAAAAAATCGTTTTGAGAAATGTGATAGTGCTCATACAAGGAGAAGTTTTTATTTTGGCATCCTACACTGCTACCATTACTACTGCCATTATTAGATGGGGGTGGTGTCAGTTGGGCTTGAATAGGTAATAAGGTAGGAGATATCACATTATTGGAGCTAGGAATTTTATTATTATTGAAATTTACATTTATGATATCGTATGAAGTAGTTCGCGAATTTTCTCTAGACCCGTGGTTACTTGAATTGTAATTGAATTGAGTATCAATTTGTAACAAAGTTGAATTGATTGATTCCTTTTCCATCTTCATTCATTTTTACGATAATACATATAAATTTATAATAAATGATAATTTAAAAAAAAACTTAAACTATTAGATCCAACAGCGTATTTGGGATTCATAATTTTGAGACAACAGATTTTAACAAATGTTTTTTAGTTACAATGATTTTAGAAAATGAAATTATAGATAGGAAATAAAGGCATTACAAAATGAAATGATTGTAAAATACATTTATACTTTCTTTTTATTTCAAATTTTATGATTCAGATCAGGTTGTAAACCCTTGTTCTAAAAAATGTTCTGGGGTCCTTTGTTCAGTGAAAAATCCCTGGACGAGTTCCAGAGTTCAGAAAAACAAGGACTTATAAAATTTAACTAAATAATAAAATCATCAGTATTTTTTCAAATTAATTTTATTAAATCTAGTATTTACGATAAAAATCATTTATCATCATAATTATAATATATAATACAATTTTTTTTAAAAATACTAAATACTTATTTAAAAATTTTAGTTAAGTATTTAAGTCAATTATGATATATATCAAAATATCATCTTTGAGGAAATAAATTTTTAAAAACAATTTTTGAACTAAAAAAGGGCTCAGTTCTCGAGTGTTCGGGTTCTGAGCCCTGTGGGGGGGGGGGGGCAACCCCTTGAAATATGCGAGCAGGTAGAATATTATCATAAAAGTGCATTAGGCCAGAGATATTCATAGGCCGGCCCATATATCATATTTTCTAAGGGGTCTGGGTTTTTAAATGGTCTTGGGTCTAAATTATTAAATTTAAATTTAGCTTATTAAAATCAGTTACTAACTTAGAGAAATATGCCATTTTTTTCTTCTAATAGTTAGAAATTTCAGTATTGTATACAAAATGATTGCCTTAAATTTTTGGATATGAACTTGAGATTTTTTTTTGAAACTTATTATGGACTTGGGAATTTTTTTAATATTAGACATGAAAAATTTCTTTACTGCGGGCCTGGGCTGGACTTGGTCAAAAAATTAAGGCTCATCAAGGTCTCTACATTAGGCTACATCCAAAGCTGATTTAGTTTTTGTTGACTATAATGTATTATGAAATAATCATCTAACAAAAAACTTTTTACATCTTGAAAAGGAAATCGGCTTTGGATGTAGAGTAAAATTGTTATAGAACACTTTTAACTTTTTGGGTAAAACATTTATATTATATTGATTATGGAAACTAAGAAACAAACTTCAAATAATAACTAACAGTAACACCTATTTTAGGCTTATACATTTATTTTAAGATATATTTTATCGTTTATTTTAAAAAAAAATATATGAAATTTTTAGAAAATAAATTTAAAATTATAATATGAAAATAAAAGGCAAATATAATAATACCTTCTTTTTGGGAATTGTTAATTTAGTATAATATAGGCTCTTCTTATTCAATTTCAGCTGTATATATAATTTATATTGTAAAAATTACAATAAAAAATTCTATTATATTTTAAGTCACAATAGAATTTAATAAAAAGGGAGAAAATTGCAATTTAATATTATTGTTGTGTGTTACTGTGATATAAAAGATCGAAATATTATCTTTATTTTATTTATTTACTTTTATATTTTTAATAATAACAGTATATAATCATAATGAAGGTGTCTCATTCTAACATTTTTTTTAATAAATAGGGTTAGTAGAATTTCTCAATTTAATTATATATATTTATTAAATTATGTTTATATATAACTTTTTTTAAAAAATTTATATATTTTTAATTAAATGAAAATCCTACTAATAACAAAAAAAATTTGTCATTTTTTGAGAGTAAAAAAAGTTATTTGTAGATGTAACATGTAGTTTATATTAAATTTATTATAAAATTACATATATTTATGAAATAACAATTTCATTAAATTACTAAACAAAAATTCAATTTAAATAAAGATGAATTTTAATAAAAACCTATAAAATATAGTTATAAAATATCATTCAAGTATCTAAATGGGAATTAGCGGCTCAGTATATCTATAATTTTAGTATTCCTAAAATATTAGTTATGGACAAAAAGTTTTTTTGAGATTATTTTTCACTTAAATAATAAGAGATCCATTCGAAGAAAAAAATGAACCATTTTAACTTGCTTACATTTTACGTCACTAGATTTAAATAAATTAATTAAGTTATTTCTTATTAAAGGTGAAAATTTTAACAAACGAATTTGTCAAAATTCATCTAGTTATAAAACATCAATCATTATTATCTTGTTTATCGAGCGAAATAGATAAAAATATAATATTAAAATATGCCAATCACTTATTGATTAAGAATTTCACAATATAGAATGGCAGATTTATATTCCACTTTAGGAAAAGAATAAACATCACCCCCAATAAAAAATTTATAAAATAATAATTTTATAATCCATCGTTTGTAATATAGAAACATTGTTTATTATTATCTTCACTATAATTTTAGTATTAAATTACCTTATGACTAGTTATATAATAACAATTCTTTTAACTCTACAATATAAAAATTAGGTAATATCGTTTTATTTTCTTTTTGAAAAATATAATTGCGGGTAAAAAAATTATAAAATTAGTGTAAAAAATATAAAGTATAAGATAAATTATATAATAGCCTTAAGGTTAATAACAATATTATTATAAATACTTTTTAACCAATTTGTCGTTTGTAGATACATTTATTTTTAAAATTATTTATACAATCTAATATTTGCCCATATTAAATTAATTATTTAACTAATTTATGCGCAATGAAATTGTTAAAAAAATATTATCATTTTTAGATAGTTTATATATAATCACATTTTTGAAACTATATTAATCTTTTATTTTTTTTTAAATATTCTTGAGACTGAGAAATAGATATAAATTTAAATGCATATATATTAGTAAAAAAAATCTATCAATATGCGTTCTGCGGAATGCAATATTAGCCAAAAATAGCATTTAATTTAAAGAGTCTCTATTCTAACATGGGCAATCTACAATAGTGCTTTGTTAAGACTTTTGGCAGCTCGGGGCGAAAATAAATATAAATTTGGCGGTCTTTTAAAAAACTTAAATTAATTTAAGCTTAAAATAACTAACTAATCTTGCCAGGCGCGTAACCAATGGGGGGGGGAAGAGGGAAATTTCACCCCCCATAGCAAATTTGACTGTTTTTCTAAATATTATTTTAAGATAATAAAAAATTTTACCCGGACCCCCTCCCCCTTGCCCCATCAAAATTTTTCAATATCAAGCAGAGTTTATCTTTACTGCTAGTTGCATTAATAAATTATTTTCCTATAGCTCAATACTATGTAGAAATTTACAAAAACCAAATTTCAATTTGGTTCAAGATATTGATTTGGAGGAAAATGTGGACAGGAAGAATGAATGTAGTTGAATATTTCATAATATTTATATAGACGTTGAATTAAATCTTATAAAATATCCAATTTCATTCCATTCTTAGATACTTTTTTATCGCAAATTAAAGTACGGTTTTTAGATAAAAAACAAGTCTTTGGTAATCTTCAAATTTTATTACCAAAAGACCCTTCTTCGTTTTCTGATGCCATTATTGGTATAATTAAATATTTAGCAAAATTTTATTCCTATGATGTTGATACTGAAATCAATTTAATCAGTGAATTCGAATTGTGGTATAAATATTTACTACGTTTATTATTTTACCTGAGCATGCTATTGATGCGCTCAATCGGTATAAGGAGGCTTAATTTATTTTGAAGGTATTCTTGCATGTTTGCCTATTACAACATATACGAATGAAAGGACCTTTTCCAAATTGAGAAGGTTGATAACTTATTTACAAAATACTACTTCTCGGCTAAATGGGTTAGCTATGTTAAATATCCACAGAGATTTATTTCCAACGACATAGAAAATTCTTGATGAATTGGAAAAATTCCCACGAAAATTAAAAATCGCATTATAATTATAGTATTTAATAAATTTTTTATATAATATTGTATTTAATAAGTTATAAAAACTTGTTCTTTAAAAAATTTTCTAGTCAATATTTTATACTCACTACAATTAGAATTTTCAATCAAAAAATATATTTATATTATATGAGAATTTAAGCTGAGGCTAGTTTTTAAAGCAAATTTTATAAAAAAAAAAATTGACACTAAACTTTATTTCAATTTTATATTTTTTTAAAAAAATTTATCTATAATATACCTAACTTAAAATAAAAATTGGGTTATAACTTTTATTTCTTCTTATATTCATAAGCGCGAATTAGTAATCAGGAGACCCAAAAGAAAGCGACTACTTACGTCAACGCATAGGAATTCAGATTATAAAATCTAATTTTACACGCCATAAGTTCATTCCCCGAGGAGCCGATTAATCTAGATTTTCTTCTTCTTCCCTAAATTATTTAAACCCCCCCCCCCTTCTTCTTCATATTATCATTTGCATTTATTATATTTCTATTATATCTATTATTATACTTTGTATTATGAAGTCCTTGTTTGTTAACTTTCTTGAATTTTCTAGAATTATGTTTTGGAATTTTATTTTTATACTATCATTTTGTCAGATTTAATTTGTCTTTATTAATAAATGTTAAATTTAAAAATTAAAAAAAAAATTTCTTAAATAATTAATTTATAAAAGGAACCAAAATTCAAATAAAAATTAAAAATATTAATATAATTATTATTGAATTATGAATAATTTAAAAGAATAGATCAAAGATATGACCCGGCCAAAGGTGAGGAAAAAGCTGGCCAAAGAGGGTTTGGAGGCAAAGCCCCCCAAAAAAATTTCCCCCCCTATAGGAAAATCCTGGATACGCCACTGAATCTTGCCAATTTTAAAATGCAGTTGTAAATAAGCAGCATAAATTAGGTAATATTATATGTAATTTGTAATAAATGATTGAATTAAATAATATTAATGAACCGAATATATAATTAATATGTATACTTTTTAAGTTATAATTCACTTTTAATGCACAAAAAACTAAATTTAGCGACCTCTAAATTAGTAGGAATTTTA